TGGGGTAGGATGGATTTAGTAGAGATTATTGTTAAAATTAACCTGCTTTAAACAGCTGCGTCCACTTTGCACCCGAGCCCCTTGCTTGGTTGGTTTGCGGACAGATTATCAGTAATGTCTGTCTAGACGGAGAAACGGACACTTTTTTTCCAACCCCCTCCCATACTGTAAAACTGTACTTGTTCTTGTTTGGACCATTTGAGCAGCACCACACCACAACACACATGATTGAGTCACACAAATGACTTTAACAAAGTTAATAATATAAGAACTCTCATCACATGTCCCATTATGGCTTCTTTATTTTTTGTCTTCATTGCGTGATTTAAAATATATATATATATTTTTTTAATGTCAAGATGCGCTGTCTGAGGCTTTGTTTCAATTCGAAAACGAATTGAAATTGTTTGGGGGGGAAAAGTATGCAGTTTTTTTTTTCTCAGTGTTTTGTTATTTTTCTTAATCCATTTTGGTTTATTTCTTGTAATTATTTTGAGCTATTTTTTTATTGTAATAATTTGCGGATTTTTTTTCTGAATATTTTTGTTGCTGTTGTTTTATCATTTTTTTTTCCACATTGCAGCATTTTGTTACTCCGAGCCACAGTATTACACACACACACACACACACACACACACACACACACACACACACTGATGAAGGATCATAACAAAAACACATTGTTTAGTTTTGACAATCAGTTCCTGTGGGGATAGAAAAAGGGCAGAGGGAAGGAGGGGGATCTTTTGTTAATCTGGTTGCCCATCAGTAGCTATTAAACAGTATCATCAAGCTAATCTGTTTGAGGAAACACACGTGCTGCTGCCCCCCACAGCGCCACCCGCTGGATGTTTACAGTGACCCACTCGTATTTCATTTCGCGAGGGCGGTTCTGCAGCGGCGATGTCGCCAAGCCAAATCTTACAGCCGTGCTGCTTTTATGACAGAGTTTAATTACATACAATAGCTAAGTATATTTATAGTTAGCCCTGAGTGTGTGCGTGCGTGCGTGCATGCGGGGTTTGCTTGGAATAATAGACCAATTTCAATGCACAAAAACTGGCATTTAAAAGAAGTCAACATGTGTGACAGTGTGTCTATTTTATGGCAGTCACAAAAGGTTTGTGCGCAAAATATCGTTTTTCAAGTAAAAATGTGTTTTGCGGCAAACTCTTGTGTTTTCAATGCAGAATATTTCATTTTTGTGGCAACATACAGTAGCGGTCAGAGGTTTGGAGATGCTTCGTCATTGAATCGAATGAGAAGTACTTTTGACCGTCGCTTTGGAGGTCACGTTCCTCTCTCGTGGGCGACCACTTTGTGTTTCTTTGGGCAACCCAGCTACTTATACACGCGTGCCACCATGGTATCTGTCCTGCATGATGTTTTTGGGGATTACATGAGTTTGTCCTGCCTGGTGGATGTTGACTTCTGGTGACTTGCTGACAGATGAGAGGATTTGTCAGCCTTTAGCCATACACAGTGGAGAAGGGTGACGGGGAGGAGACAAGCCGGGTGTGTTTTTGGGGGTGGACGCACTTGCTTTGTATGCAGAAGACCAGCCGCACAGCCACGCTGTCACTCTCGATCCAGAGACTCACTCCGGAGCTACCATGCGGGATTAAGATTTGCAGAGATGGAGAAGAGAAGGCCAGCCAAGTCTCGGATGCTCCATTGAGTTTGTGTCCCATGCGCTCGGTTTGCAATGCGCACGTGAGCGAAAGCTACCGCCCCGTCCCCATGCCCGCCGCCATGCTCCCGTGCCCTTCGCCGGCCGGGTTCAACTGGAGCTTCCAGAACCCGGTGGGAGTGGATTGCAGCTCCCCCGAGCCTCGCTGCATATGGGTGGCGGTGCTGCGCGGCATCACCGGGCCGCCGCCGCCAGTCATGCCTGTGGGACGCAGCCACATCGCCCATCAGGTCAGGGTAAGGAGAGGACGTGTGGGAGCGTGGTGGCCTGACGTCACATAGGTCGGAACATTTATGACTGCAGCGCGTACTGTAGATTTCAAGAATTTGGCATTTGGTTGCAAACTATTTGGTTTTCATGGCAAAAACGTATTTATCTAGTCCATGTGACTTGTAGCAAAATATGGATTTTCAATTGAAATATTAGATTTTTTTTTCTTGCAAAATGTGCAGTTCCATGGCAAAATGCGATATTTTGTGGCAAACTACTTTTCATGGCAAAAACAAGCATTTTTGTGACAAAATATTGCAAAGCACCCTAGTTTTTGTCGGAAGAATTGTTTTCTTGGAAGGATGCAGCATTTCAGTTGTAAAAGGTTCTCTTTGTGCTGACAAGTAGCATTTTGTGGCAACATTTCTCAAAGCTAGATTTTTTTGGTGGGGTGGCAAAATATGTAGTTTGCATTGCAAAAAATGGTTGTGGTTTTTGGGCAAATATGTAGCTTTCGTGGCAAATACATTGCACTTTATGGCACGTAATATAGTTTTCCTGGAGAAAAAAAAAAGATCATTTATGTGATAAAACAAAGCTTCCAAATTGTTTTTGTGGCAATATAGTTTTCTTGGAAAAATATATTTGTTGTCATTTTTTTTCTAAATGGAAAATATGGCCTGATTTGATGCTACTGGCACCATGACTGTCACTAGTTCATCTAAATGTTGTCATCCATCCATCCATTTTCTAATCCGCTTATCCTCACAAGTTGCCAGTCTTCGGGTAGTAGGCGGGGGACACCCTGAACTGGTTGCCAGCCAATTGCAGGGCATACAAAGACAACAACCATCTGCGCTCACACTCACACCTCAAGACAATTTAGAGTGTTCAATCAGCCTGCCATGCATGTTTTTGGAATGTGGGAGGAAACCGGAGTACCCGGAGAAAACCCACACGGGCCCGGGGAGAACATGCAAACTCCACACAGGGAGGCCGGAGCTGGAATCGAACCCGGTACCTCTGCACGCGCTAACCACTGGACCACCGGGCCGCCCGTTGTCAGTCTTTTCAAAAGTAATTAATTACTTGTGGTATTCACACTGGGAAAACAATTGAGACGAGTTTACCTTGTAAACATTTGGCTTTCGGAATTGGCCACACATTCCGAAGGACGTACTTGTCCCATCTGTGTCTGTGCACCAACCACGACCTCAACCCCTGTGACGTCACCAACGGACAGCAATTCCCACAAACGCGCTTGAAACTCTCAGACGCTCGGCTTCACATAATCTTCACTTTTCACACTTCCTGCTGGTGTTTTTCTCCACGCCTTAAAAGGTGAGAGCATTTGGGGGAGGGTGTGGGGGGGGGGTGTTTGCTTTGGTTTAGTTCTCGGTCACATAACTCTGACATCTCGCGGCCCCCCACAACACCTTGTTAAATGTGTCACCTTGAAAGTCGTCATTCCACAGCCGTAATTAGAAGAGAGAAATGCGCTCAGCGGCCATTCCCGTATTAAATTGTGGAGTACATGTCGGGTAATGAGTTAAAAAGTCAACAGCAGTGTGTCCAAAATTTTGACTGTCAAATAATTTGAATTTATTTATTAAAGCATTATTGTGGTGAATTGCACTTTCATGGCCAAATCTAGTTTTGTGGCAAAAAGTCTTCACGGATGAACTCGTATTTTGTCAATCAATGTGTTATTTTCTTGTCAGAATATTGTGTTTTAGTGTCAAATTGTGTAAATTTTCCCCAACAATAACCTGCAGTGATGCATAGTTTTGATGACATCATCTGGGATTTTTGCGGCAAAAATAGTCCACAGAGCGTGTTGCTTTCGTGGCACAAAAACAGTCCAATTCGGAAGTGCGAGGCACTTTGGAATGCTTGTGAATGAGAATGCTTGTGTAAATGTTGGACTATATGGTTCTCATGGCTGAATGTAGTATTGCGGAGGGGGGGGTATGATTTTCTTGGCATCATCTGGTGATTTCTTTCAGGGATGGACCGCTACTGTAAGAAGATCTACACAGAAGAATACGCCCCAACGGGTTCGATTGTTCAGTTTTGTTATTCAATTTGCATTGACGCTGCGTGTGTGCGTGCCTGTCCAGATAGACGAAAAGCCCACAACTGCGATATAATATCCAATTGCTGTTGTGACCGTATTAGGGGATCAAAGTGCAGCTCACAGGAATGAAAGAAAAAAAATAAAAAATATCTGCTGATTTTTGTGGACGACCGTACGTCATTTTCTTGGCGTTAAAATGATGCCGTGCTGCAAATTGGAATGTGGGGAAGTATTTTCCCTGGAATGGTCATCAGGAGCGGAGAAGCCGGTTTCCGCGGCAGAACGATAATCCTGTCCGGCTTCCATGATGTTGAAACCGGTTTAACTGACTTTGCAGCCAGTTCAACTGACATTCGTATTAGCACAAGATCAACACATCCGAATAAAGCCCTACCGCAGTTACAATATTTTGAACCTGCCGGTTGAGGAATTACGCGCCTTTTTTTTTTTTTTTCCACACCGTACCCTCTTGGCTGGGCGGTGGCTACAGGGGTGGGGGGCTTGGGCGGGTGGTCGGCAGACACGCGGCGGCCATCGGGATTAAAGGCTCGTCAGCATTTGTGTCGGCGTGCGCGTAAAGCTCCACTTTTCAAACAGGTTGCAGCTCTCAGCTCTTTAAAAAAAAAAAAAAGCGGTATTGTTACAGCCCCGCCGGTGGGCTTTGCTTTTGACGGCTCTTCGACTACTTTTACTACTACGCCTCCTGCAAATAATCAAAATGTATTTCTTATGTTCCATGGTCAAATTGTCATTGGCATAAAAGTAAATGAAAATGACATTTTCTTATATTTGTTCAATGTTGTTTCATTTTCTTAACTCGTGCTTTCAACATTTTTTTTTTCTTGCGACATGTTGCGAGGCAAAATTTGTGTTTGGAGTGAGCTTCAACTATGCTGCAGCAAAAATAGAACGAAAGTCACTGTAATGCCCTCGCATGTGGGCAAGGAGAGACACGGTCGCAAATATACACACACTCAAACACAAAAATGCCAAAATGAGATCACATGCAAGGTTTTCCAGCCAACTTCAGCCGTCACTGATATCACTCACCTAGCCACGCCCCTTCCAGGGCACACCAACACAGTACACCAAATCCAATGAATACTAAAGTAAATGCAGCAATTACAGTCGACCATCGCTATTCGATTCGCGGAAAATAGGGACCTCATTATTGACACGTACTGAAATGCAGTGGGGGAAGATTTTATTTATTTTATAAACATAAAAAAAAGTCTCCAAAAAAATGCTGGTAAGCATTGAATATATGTTTTCCATAAAAAAATGGGTGATTTTAAATGGGCACTGCTGATGATGCCAGCTTCGGGGTTTTTTTCTTTTTTCTTTCTTTTTTTGTGTTTAATGGTTTCCTCTGCTGGTTCAGCCTTCTTCCCGTCATCAAAATCGTGTGAGAAGTGATTTCCTCCAAATCGAGGACAAGGACACAATATGTACTGTGGTATTCAATGGGAAATGGGTTCTGTGGCAGCTAATAGGAGGATGTATTGTGTGTGTATTTTTGTTCAAGGTATTTGAAATTCATTTTTATGAAGCAATTAAGAGGCTTTTTTGGGGGGGGGCTGTCAAAGAGGTCTTTGTTATCAATCAATCACAAAACCAGAAAACTGCCCACAAAATTATGAAGTTTAAAAAAACGACAAGTCCAAATGTTTCATATAACCATTAAAGTGCACTGAAATGTTATTCTGCTTTGTGAATAATAATTGATAAAAGGTGAGTGTCGGAGAACTGCAATCTCTTGAACTCACTTAAATTCACCCTTAATCCTAATCCTGAACCCCTTTAGTTTTTTTGACTGGTCGTAGTTTGTTTTCCTCGCTCATGAGCCTGTTTTGCAAAAGACGCAAAGCTTATTGACCCTGCTCCGGTGCCGCTGGCTCCGACCCTTTTGAGCCTGTTCTGCGATCGGGGTAATCACAGGTTTCGGTTTTCCCATCGCTGGGCGGGGCCACGCGGTTCAAAACCGGCGTGCCAGAGCCTGTTCCTTTGCCGGGACCCGATACTCCACCTCCTCCTCTTCTTTTTCTTCTTCCCTTTATCCTCTTATTCACTCCCTGCCTGCATGTTAGCGTGTGTTCCGACTTGTCCCCAGCCAAACTGCTCCCTCGGAGGAATTTCTCCTTTCGCCCTCCTTCAACTTCCTTTTCTGGCCTGCTTTTTTTTTCTTAACGGTCTCTTGACAACCCCCCTCTGCGCCTCTCTCTCAAGCATCCGTACGCTGCTGTCGTGTTGCGAATGTGGCATGAACAAGAAGTTGGGTCAACTGATCAAAACCAATCAGGTTTTTGCCCTGACACCTCCACACTTTGCCACAAAACCCATTTCATCACAAAAACTTAATTTTGCCACAAAAGCACAACATCCTTTCGAAACCCTTTTTTTTTGCCATGAAAACCCCCACATTTTGCCAGAGATCCTTCCAATACAGCAAAAATTTGCAATGTATGTTTTTTCATCAGTGAATTTTTCCCAAATGTATTTTGCCACCCAACACTGGATTTTGTAACGAAAACAACATATTTTGTGTGCTCGTTCCGTTTTGACAACTGCATTACTTGCCAAAAAAATGCTTTGTTTTGCCATTAAAATGTAATAATTTGGAACATAACTGCTTATTCCGATGAAAGCTGCAAAAGCTGCCACAAAAATGCTCATTTTTGTCAATAAAACTGCATATTTAGGTATTTCAAAAATGCTTGTTTTATGCCATGATCGCTAAATAAGTGGCCTCCAAACTGCTAGCTTTTGCCATCAAAACTTGTTTGTTTTGTTTGTTTATTGAACATATATAAAACATACAATAACAGATTGACAAAATGCAAACAAAAATTATGAAAGGAAAAATAAAAGTAAAACTAATCATTTTTCCAAAATATTGCATTTTTTGTTGTTGTAAAACATTCTAAATTGAAGGCCTTTGAAAAATTACTTTCAAAAATTTAATGATAGAATTGCATCAAATACTTTTTGCAGACATTTAAGGCTTAAATGTAAGTAAATATATTTGATTTTATCTACTAGATTTGGTATGCATAATCCTAATATACAATAAAATGAATAAATTAAATCAATTAAATATATCATCTGTTACAAAATGAAGATTATGAATGGGATTATGGGAAAAACTAAACAATCCATGGAGTGACATCATTAATAACGCGATGAGCGGTGCGCTCTCTGAATGTTCTGGACTCCTGTTTTGATACCATTGAAAAAGAGATATGGAAGAAAAAAGTTTTTTCGTTCTCGGAAAAGAAAAGGAGAAGGGAAGAGGAGGAGGTGAAGGAGTGGAAGTGGTTATTTTTAGGTGCGTCTGGTTGTCCTGCCCTGTAACGCGAGCCCACTTCCTGCCTCCGACATGCCACTTCCTGTTGCGGTGCACCCACCTGGTTAAGCTCTTGTGTGTGCGTATGTGTGTCTGTTGTATGTCAGTCATGTTTATGTCAGGAAGTGAAGTTTGACCAAACAGACATTTTTTTGAAGTCTGTTTAACTTTTTTTTTTTTTTTAAGTGTAAATTAAGCAAGTAAAAGAATTGGTGAGACATTGAGCTAATGCTAATTTTGGAACAGGCTAACACATTTTTTTTTCTTTATATCATGGCACGTTTTCCCCTTAAGCTAATGGTAAATTTGCTGTATTTTCTTTCTTTCTGTCTTTCTTTTTGGGTTATTTTTTTGGTTACAATGTGTGATTGGTCGTATAGTTGTAACGTAAATGTATTTCGAGATTAATCAATGCACTACAAATTTAGTAAATGGAAGCGTTTAACGATGCTAGCTTGGACGGCGGTGCATTTGCTTTCCTGGATGTTTCTTTAACATATTGCAGTCATTGATAATGGATGAGGAGATTAAAAAAAATAAATAAAAAATCGGAAAAGCTTCTTGAACGGATGGTGAGACATTTAGCCAATAGCTAATGTTAACCTTGGTCACCATGTAATTCGTATCTACCTTTGCTCTGCAAACCTACAAATATTTACAGACATATTGATGTGCTACTAGCTTATCTGGTAACCTTTGGTGGTGCTAGTTAGGTAATGCATGACTACTCGTCTTTTCGTTGAGCCATTGCGTTCAAAATAAGAGACAAATCAATACAAAATGGACTGTTTCACACAATCTCAAAGCTACTGAGCTGGTTAATTACTTCATGATAACTAGTAGCTAATGCTTACAGTATACAATTTTTTTTTGTGTTGAAATACATATCCAATGTGTTAAAAAATGGTTTGAGCGAGTTTAAGTGTTCAAAAGGAGGGGGAGAGGTAACATTTTATTAAAAAAAAAAAACAAAACCCAAAACACAGGTCTTTGTATATTGTAGGTTTTGAAATATTGCGTATCCCCCGCAAATAAAACGTGACAAAAAGGGGAAAACATTCATTCCCGTCAATATCTGTGGCTTAGATAGTCTGCATGCAACAACAAGCCAATTAAGACTTTGGTGCCAAGCTGTTTTTTTCTCGCTTGTTTGGTCAGGTGACAACATGTGATTGACAGATGTGGGTCATCGGGGCAACACTGGGGTGAGAGTTCTCGCATGTGTCTGTCGGATGAGCCATTTTATTTACTCAACCTTTTGGGAATGAAATATTTCGAGAGAGGGTAGGAATCTTTGCGGGAAAACTTCAAGGTCAGCCCGATGGGCCAGAATAATTCCTGGCATGGTGTTGATTACATGACCCCCGGCCCCCATTGATTAAATACCATCTCTTCTGGGTCTTTGCAGGCGAAAGGGCGAAGGGATGGTCTCTCGTCGCCCTCCGCCGACAACAACCCCCGGCCACCGATGGCGTCCCGGCCGGGCAGGGAGGGCATCAGCGGGGCGTGGAAGGGCCCACGCACGCTGGTCCTCCGCAAGAACTCGCAGGGCTTCGGCTTCACGCTGCGGCACTTCATCGTTTACCCGCCGGAGTCCACCCTGCACACCACCCTCAAGGTGAGGCGCAGCTGTCTCAAGGTACCAAATGGACAAGTACCAGGATTGAATCCCGAATATTAAACTCAATTCCCTGATTTGGAGCCCAGCTTTAAAAGTCTACCCTTGGCTGGAAACCGCAAACCGGGTTTTAAACCACTACTTGAAACCCTGTCCCGGCCTGGCTTGAAACCCTATTTGGAAACCCCAACCTATGTTTGAAACACTAACCCATGATTCAAATATTAATTTGAAACCTGTACATGGAGCAATTTAACATATACAACAAACAGTAAAGCATCCATCATTTGAATCCCTAAACCCTCTTTCAAATTAAAATTTAAATGATGCAAAACATAATTTGAAACCCTAATACTTGCTTTGAAACCTATTCCCAGGCTTTAAAAGTTCAGACATTAATCTTTGACGGTTGCTATGTTATCGATGACCAGACAGAGGACTGCGACTCAAAATCCAACGAATTTAATACCAGGCAAGATGAATACCAGAAAGCTCGTCTCACACACACACACACACACACACACGCTATGGATCCTGATCAACCACACACAGATGCCGAATAAGCCGAATGTGTCCAAAAATGATTTACAGTTTTAGCCACGCCCACAAAGGGGAGTGGCATAGCCTAACAAACGTTCGTACTCGTAACCGATTTCAACTGATCGTCTGCAATGGTGCAACTAAATATAAAAATATCACAGCAATAAACAAATCGGATCCCGCTATCTAATTAAGCTCCAAAGAAGTGTCAATCAAACAAAATCATCATCTGAAACTGTCACTTGAAACCGTTAATTGTGTCTTAAAACCATAATTGGGAAAAAAAAAACCCTAATCATCATCTGTGCTTCTTGTCTGTGGCTGCAATTGACCAAATCCAGCGGGGGGAAAAAAAAAAATCCATCATGTGACAGCGGAGGCAGAGGAGCAGTGGCGTCTATTGTCCCATTGTGGCCCGGTCGTGCCCGCTTGCGAGCAGCGTCGCAGCCAGCACAAGGACTCTCATTCAACGGGCAGCTGCCGGCTCGGTGAAAGTGTAATAATAGACGGGTTGTTTTCAACAGCCTCCGTATGACTCGGAGTTGAACATCTGGAGACGTTTGCCCACACACCTCAACACACAGTCCCATTAGCGCTCATTCTTAGTCTTCCTTCCCTACCGTGTTAATACTCACTTAAGCTTTTGTTTCTCCGTGCTCCAACTCAACCCGGTTGACCCTGCGCCGCTGAGCCACAATTAGCTTTATCTTACGCAGAGTAAGAACGAGGCGGCTCGACGAATGGTATTGCCCGGACCAAATGGAGACCATGTGTGCTACGAAAATAAACGCACAAGATGGACCGGATTGTTCTCAAGCGTAAATTCTACAAAACACACAGAGTCAAAGTGGATTTAAAGCCTTCGTATTTGAATCTGAACCTTGAATCATCATCTTTTTCTTTTTTTTTTACACAAAAGTAGAAGGCTTGGAATTCTTTATCGTCACTGATTTTGCCTCTCTTCCGGTGAATGCTATTGTAGAATTAGGGTTTCAAGACAAGGTTAGGGTTTCTGATTTGTTTTTCATATCAGGGTGAGAGTTTCAGAAAATGCAAGATGGTTTCAAATATTGGGTGAAGGTTTGTCGATATATCAACCCTGAACCAATCCCTGACTGTGGTCACTGCTGATCTGGGTTCTGTTGTCTCTGGTAGTCCGGAGTCTATGGTCTTCAGTCTCTGGGCTGTATGGTCTCCACTCCAGTTAGTCTTTCTGTGCCTGTAAAGCCTCAACCCGCAGCATTGTATGCAGCCAGTCAGGAATGAGCCCACTCAGCGAGGCCTAAAGCCCAGGCGGCAGTCAGCCCACACTCACCCTCACCAGAAACTGTCCACTCAGCTCGCACACACGTGTGTGTGTGTGTGTGTGTGTGTGTGTGTGTGTGTGTGTGTGTGTGTGTGTGTGTGTGTGTTGCCGTTTTAAGTTGGAGCTGCTTAAAAGAAAAACAACAGGTATTAAATCATAATACTGTTCTTTTAGCCCGATTCAAAAATGCTATGAACTGTTTTACCTTTAATATTCGACGCACAACACCCCATAATGACAGCATGATTGTTAGTGTTGTTATTATTTTTTTTTTGCATATGTATTTTCAAATAAATCACAAACATAAGTACCCACAGACTTTGTTGACGTTCCTTGTCAGCAATTACATCCTCAAGTCTTTTTCAATGTGCCATCAGATTGAATGGTGACTGTCTGTTCAATCGGATTCAAGCCTTGGCTCCGACTGCTCTGTACTTCATGCCCTGTTGTTTTTCACGATATAATGCAGTGGCGAGAAAAAAAGGCACCCGCGGCAATATACCATTTTTGTAAAATATACACTCTTTGATTTTCAGGATGAGGAGAACGGCAACGGGAAGGGTGAGCTGTCTTATTTTTTTCTTTTTTAATCTCAACAAACAAAAGGAATACAGATAAAGGAAATTGACACTTTTACCTGAGGCCTATTGTTAAATTTCTTAAAGTTGTATTTTTGTTTTTGTTAATGTCAGTCTTAAGGTGGTAAAAATGTCCCGAACGGGGCTCTTTAAACCCCAGGTAGGCTGATGGATGACGTCATGCAGTCATTACTTCCACTCTGAGGGCTCCCTGCGCCCTCTACAGCTAACATTGCAGACGTGCACCTAAAAAAGTGCCAAGTCAAGGAATAATAAAAATGCTAGGTACAGTATATGCTTATTTCTCTGCTTCATCATTATTATTTTTTTTTGACATGCAGGTTACCACAAAGGCCGACTGGAGCCGATGGACACCATCTTTGTGAAGAATGTGCGGGAGAAAGGTCCCGCTCACCAAGCGGGCCTTTGTACGGGTGAGCTAGAACAACATTCAGTCCGCTCCCCATTTGCTTTATAAATTGGGCATGTAATATGTAAATGTTAGGCGCATTTGTGGTGAAAATATTCACGCGAAAATGTGATGAAGTACATTTTATAAGCGACCACGGAGTCTCCTAAAAAAATGCCGAAAAGGAAATATGGAGTCATTATGTGCGTGTTTTGTTTGTCAGGTGATCGTCTGGTCAAGGTGAATGGCGAAAGCGTGCTGGGAAGGACTTACTCACAGGTCATCGCCCTCATCCAGAACAGGTGAGACCTCTCGTCACGCTGTGTTTAGAGCCACTGAACCGTGTTGACCGCCTTAATCGCGCAGATGACACGTATGCTAATAACCGGTGAAAGAAGTTACCCCCGAGCGCTGTGTTCTACACGGACAGAAATTAAGATGCATCTTGATGTGCAATTTGACCTGTCGCACTGCATCTTGTCACCTTTTCTATGCAAATCACCGTGTAATAACGTGTTGGAAATATTGACTTTAGCGATATCTTACATTTTTCACCAGTGAGAGCGTGCTGGAGCTCTCTATTATGCCAAAGGATGAAGATGTGCTTCAGTTGGTAAGTGTGAGTATTTATTTTTTTTAATCCGAACCAAACCCCACCGCCATGACAAAAGCAGAATTGTGTGAAAAGTTCACCTGAACAAAGATGAAATGTATGATGGTAGATGACCATCATACATTTCATCACTTTTTTGCGGTTTCACTGCATGGCCGAATTTTAAATGGGAGATATCTCATTTTATATCGACGGGGGGTGTGCACAGACTTGCGCAACTGCATGTCTCTCCTAAAATGAACACCTTTAGCAAATTTAATATAGCCTACCACCGCTAGTTAGAACAAATTTTAATATCTTCACCTGGGGAAGGACAGACACAGCCACCGGTGCTCTTTCAACCACTTTATTAAACAAACAGCAAGAAAACAAACATCTAATAAGCACATTCATTCACGAGCTGCCGATCGAGTAACTCTACACGCAGACTGGCCTACAGTTCGCTTTTTAACCACCCGTACTATACTGAGCCAACACGTCCAACTCTACACTCTCATTTGCAGACTTTTTTTAGATCTCCACACATTCAAAATCACAGATGATGAATATGAGGACGGCGACCCCAAGTGGACAAAAAAGTAAAATGCTCATTTTGTAATTGCCTGTATGGGTAAAGTGTTCAAATATATGCAAATACTAAAATGATCCTTACTGTTTGGATTTTTTTTTTTGCCCCAGGAGTTTCTGAACCCCCCCTCCCCGAGATAAACGAGGGGCTACTGTACCCCCACAGCTTGTTTGTGACAGTGTATGTTTATGTATTGACAAAATTTTTTATATTTGCTCACAAATGTCACAAAAAAGTGGATACTGTACACCGTGCAATTACCGTATGTATATTGCGCTATCTAGTGGAAGAGCTGGCATAGATAGTCGCACAAAGATACATTCATTATTGGTATTATGGCACACCCTAAGGCCAAATTATTTTGTAGACACGCAAATTAATCGGCACAACAAAGGCCACAATATTAGGTGCACCATCAGCCGACTATCATGTGCACCTCTGTTCAAAATTCAAAAGTTTTTTGCGCCTAAATAACATGCATGTGTCCAAAATATTAGGAACGCCTCCGGCTAAAATATTTGGTCCAGTTGGAATTAGTTGAATCTGATTTAAGCAGGGCACTTGTATGGGACCTTGTGAGCCTGTGTACCTAATATTGCGGCCGGTGAGCATAAGGGATCATGAACGTCGTGACGTGGTAGAAAAACAAAGTTGAGTAAGAATGCCGAGATTGTGGTTGAATGTCGACAGAATCCTCCTAATGTGCATTTAGATAACCGGACGTGCTCATTATAAATGCGTCAACGCACACACACACACACACACACACACACACACAGACACAGACAACTAAAAGTTGACAGTTTAACGATTTGCATTTCAAACCTCCTTCTTCATCATCTGCATCGACTGCATTCCTGGCATGACATCACTCCTCCTGCGCCTCCCTATGCACTCCCACTGGGTGGAGTGACATTCACACAGAAAGAGAGAGAGGGAGAGAGAGAGGAAGAAAGAGAGAGGGAGTGTAAAAGGAGAGCAGAAAACAAGATCAAGGGAGACAGTAGTGAAATAACGACGGCAGACAATATTGGATCTATCCGACACAAAAAAAGGGCTTTTGCTGAAGACGCGTATACAACTGTGTTTTTGTATTGATGACAAGTTGGAGCTTGTTTTGGTGAACCGGGAACGTTCGTTAAAAGGGATTTGTCGGGGCAAATGTAAGTAGCGCCTAGAGTGAACATAAACTGTTTTGTGTTGTTACTTCCTCACTAGCTATTTGTGCTCGTCAGAGCCCGTTGCCATTTTGAGCATTGCAGCACCGCGTACGGCGTCTAGTGTTGTTGTCAAACTTGTTCACGGCATGTAAAAACAGCACCTGTGCAAACGCCACCTCACCTGCCTTCCCTCTCCTTCCAGGCGTACTCCCAAGATGCCTACCTGACTGGCAACGAGCCTTTCTCGGGGGGAGCAGAGAACCTCCCGCCACCGCCACCCCTCTGCTACCCTCGCGCCAAGACCATGTCACCCGCGGGCGCTCCACCGCCTGCGCCCATGGGCCAGAACCAGCTCGATAATTGGAGTCGCTGGCCCGGTTCCCCGAGTCCCTCCTCGCCCCTGGACAACCGCTCCACCGTGTGCAGTCCCGCCAGTTGGCAAGACGGGCGCTCGGTGGAGTTGGGCGGCGTGGGTCACAGCAGCCCGGCCCACCGCACGGAGGAGATTCAGTATGGCATGACCAGGCAGCAGCCTCAGGGGCAAACCAGGGGGCGCTCCTACTCGTCGTCATCCTCATCAGGGGGTCCATTATCCAGCCCGTTACAGGTCCACTACCCCAATCACCACCATGGCGGCAACTCCACGCAGGCCCAGGCGCGCAAGTCCGGCAGCTCGGCCTGGACCAGCCCGCCGCTGCCTCATCTCGATCACGGCCAAAGTGAGCGTCGCCAGCAGGCGCTCTCGGAGTGGTACCACAGCCAAGTGCCGGAACGCTCTGGACGCAACATGCAGGCGCGCCAACGTAGCTACTCGCAGGACCGCCTCAGTGAGTCTAGGAGGCATCCGCATCTGCAGCGGGCGGGCGGCTGGCCGCACAGCGCCTCCCAGGACACTCTGCTGTTGGCGCAGCAGTCGGGACTGGGGCCCCACGGAGAGCCCTACTGGTATGGAGAGTGGGGGCCTGATAGGGGCCATCCTGCCTCCGGCTACACGAGGACACGCTCAGAAAACCTGCTGGTGCAGTTTGATAGCCACGGACGCTCATTAGAGATGCTGGACCGAGCCGCGACCGGACTGGTCTCGCCTCGATGCGAGACGTGGAACCAACCTCCCAAGCCGCCCCCTAGAACTGATGTCCACCAGAGGCACGGTGGGTCATACCCTGCGACGCAAGCCCCTCAGAAGCCCCGACACTCGCAGTCGCACTCCAAACACCCGACGCAGACCCATTCCCCACCCCAACCTCAGCAGGCCCCCGCCAAGAGCAGGCGGCTTCCTCCGGGCCAAAGCATGGACGACCAGCCGGTGGGCTACCGCAGCTACAGCCCCTCCTTCTACCGTAAGACGGGCCGCATCATGCAGCAGGCCCACTCTTTCAGGGACCCTTCATACTCCGGGCCCCACTTGAACTGGAACACGACCCCCAAAACCAGCCCGCCAGAAGGGGCGCCGGCTTCCTCAGCCGCCACCCCGCTGGTTTCCACCTCGCCCGAATCCCAGGAGAGAGCGTACAGGCCCACCAACCACGAGCGGGGGTCAACGGAGGTGCCGGTGCAGACACAAGAGGTGGTGATGCGCCAAAAGCCTCCCAGCGGACGGAGGAATGCCCACGGCATGCGGCACCCTCACTACGCGCTGCCTATGGACGGCCTGGAGCCCTCCTTGTTTTCACCGGAACCCCCAGACTCGGCGACCACGTCAAGCTCTTCTGGAGACGCGGTTCCGTTTAAGGCCAATGGCAACCTCGTCTCTCTGGAGGACGATTCGCTGGCGTCCATCCCCTTCATTGGTAAGGTTGTGGGTCTCCACTCTAAAACTTTGAACGTCCTTTTCCTTCTTAAAACTTTCGGATCAAAATTTGGGCTTTCCGCTACGGCTCATTTGGTGACTTTTCTTTTGCTTCTTGGCATCACTCAAACAAACCTCACGCTACGTGAGACACAGAGAAAAAGTAGGAGTCCATTTTTGTTTTTCGGGGTACAGCCTACACTAATAGGCCTGAATTTTGAACTACAAAGTAACAGCAAGTACCTTTTCCAGGAGTTTTCCAAAGTCGCAAGTACGTCCTGACTCCTTAAGATAGGTTACAAAAGCTGAGCCTTTGATGGGACCACCCCATTGACAAAATCCTGTACACTTTGTACATTTACCACACTTCTGTTTACCTTACAACGTCACCATCGGGCAGATCCGCATGGTTGTAATTTATTTAGAACACCTTGAGTCGTAAATACAGGATTTTTCCTTGGATGAAAGGAATGATAGCAATGAAAACAGGCCGATTCCTGCGGTTCTATGGACGACTACAGTACAGGGAGCGGGGGGGGGCATTTCTCCTAGGCACGTCCAGACTCGCACTAGATTCGCAGAAGACTGTGCCGGGTTTCGACTCACTGGTGTCACCAAACACGGGACACCTGGTCAAAAACGATCAGAATCGGTCCGAATCAGCTGATGTTCAAGCCAACTCTGGATGAGCCCCTCCCGACCTTGTAAAAAGTCATTTGAATTGGAAACGTCGACCAGGAGTCACTGCGACGACACACTTGAGCGCATTCTTGCTGACAGCTAAAACGCGGCAAGTCCCGCCACGTTTAACCGCCGTAAACTCAAACGATTCCCCATTGACGCGCTTTTGTGATCCGCTTCGCTTTGTGAACGACGGCGAGACGGATATCTCACATTCAAGTGTTTTATTCCTCCTGTAGTGCGGAGACAATCCGACAAGAGGAGGCACGTTCAACAGAAACGAGCGTTCCGGTGCAAATTAGCGGTGGGGTTTTGCAGCGCGGAACATTGCTCCCGTCTTCAATGCAGCTATTGTCTTGCTGTGCAGAATAGAGAGGGGGGGGGGGGTCCAATTGGCTGGTTCTGCCTTTTTACTGGTCCCCTGCACTGGCAAGGTTGGCATCCATCAGTAATTTACGCGAATGCAGCAGCCAAGTCCTAATTACTGTAAAATTGGGTAAAAATACGTTCCAGGTTCTAAATATAAAATAGTCAAGTGAAAAGTATAATTGAGTGAGCGTGAACACGTGTTCTTGCAAGACTGTTGTAAACTGAGAACACCTCCAGCGTAAAAAAAGGAGACGAAAGACAACTACCACACATCGCGTCAACCCGAACTGCACCGCCTGGTGGATTTGTGAATACGGGAAACACAGGGGTCTTTTTTGAGAAACCTTGAATTTCCCGAACAAGGCACTCCAAACAAGTAGTTTCTATGTCAATGTTTCACGTCGGCTCTTTGGACTTCATCAAAACCGCAAGGCTTCTATTGTTTTTACAATGTCAACAGGGAGAACTTGTTCACTGCTCAAGCCTTTTTTTGGATTGATGACACAATTATTACCAAGGGTTACATGCCGCTCAGATCTTAATCTAGCCCTGGGAAAATTCCGAAGCGTTTCTCTCCCAGGGTACTAAATCCAGCGTCACCTGTCTTTGTTGGGAGACAACGTGGATTTTGCAAGTCTGTATGTTCCCTCGCAAAGGGCCGCCCGTTTAATGACGGCCTTCCTTAAAGCCACAGCCCGGCTATTTCTGGGCCTCCCTGTAAACACAGCCAGATTCCTCATCCCCAGATTGGGATTTTTTTTTTTTTCTTTTTTGCCTCTTGCACTCCACCGATGTGGACAACCTCGGTTTGTTGAGCTGTGCTGCCCTCTGTTGTTTCAACATGCAGCAGACTGGACTGGTCTTGTCAGTCAAATGTCCGGGTTGTGTGTGTGTGTGTGTGTGTGTGTGTGTGTGTGTGTGTGGGTGGTGGGGTTGTCTCGTTTTAAACAATGCAGAAATGTGATGGTGTTATGTATTAGTGCCATCGTGTGCTACCGTTAGTAGCCATGTCAGTAGTTTATTAGATGGACGATCTTTTTTTTTTCCGAAAGGCTGGTCAAAAGCCATCTTCGACGGGCAGCGTGAATTGGCATGTCTGGCATGAGTCAATGGCGCCCTCTACTGGTTACTGACAAGTAGTGATGAATCTGCTTTGTTTACAATCGCCGCTTTCACACTACCTTCAATGGCATATTGCATGAAAGCCGCAATCGTTGAGCCCTAGCATTGTAGATTAAGTTGTACTGAGGTACCTTCAATGGCATATTGCATGAAAGCCGCAATGGTTGAGCCCTAGCATTGTAGATTAAGTTGTACTGAGTTTAGAATATAAATTATTGACATATAAGGCAGCGATGTTAGCACAACAAAGCAAGCTGCTTTTTACTTCTCTCTTCAAGTTGGGGAACAACACAAGTTGCAATTAGTTCTGTAAACTCGTATTTGCACCAAGTGTGCTGCGGCATGTTTGCATGTTGCATTCAGTGACAGAGCAAGGAAGCCATAAACTCTTCCTCTTCATAGCAAAAAAAAAAATGAAAATCCCCTTCCTCTTAATTCCTCTTTGATCATTGGCTCCTCTCCCTCCTAACACCTAACCCATCTTCCTCCTCTTCCTCCTCCTTTCTTCCCGGCGCTCCATCTTTTCCCGACCTTCCCACAGATGAGCCCACCACCACCCCCCATCCCGAGGCCCCTTAACCCCGTCCCGTCCACCCCACCAACGCTGCATGCCTTGCATCTGAAATGCAGCAAGTTTCTTTTCACGCAGAAGAAGCTTGTGTGATGTTTAAGGAACCTCTGCTGAGCTAGGCCAAAATGCGTTTTCGGCAGGTTAACAGTTGAAGTCAAATCAAGTGATTTTCTTTTTCTGTTGAGCCCCGTGCATTTCTTTTTTTTTTTTTTTTTTGAGCTATTTTATTTCTTTTTGAAGTGTGGCCATGCCAAGAAGATACTGACTAATTCTTGAGAGAATTTTTTTTCACACGATGATAGGAGAGGCATTGATTTGTCATTAACAAAGAACAATGTTCCAGGAATTAGTCACTGCCTTGTAAGCATTTCGCTGGAACTGATATCCTCTAAGACCTGTCAAGGTGAATGACACAGCGAGAGGTATTCAACAGACAATAGAAATCATGATTTTCCAGAAATTAGTCAGTGTATTCCAAGCGCATTTGAATAGTTACCGATACAAATTGACCCCGACAATAAAATAACAATTTTCCAGGAATTATGAGATATCTTGCAAGAGTAAACCACACTTGAATGGAACCAGTGACACTGAACAATGAAAGAAGAATTTTCCAGGAATTAGTGAGAGTCAATAATTTGCCACTCTCGAGTAGTTTTAACTCAACGTTGCTCAACTAGTTTAACAGCTTCGCTGTCGGTGAGGCATTCATTTGAAAATGCAAATGATTTTTATCCTTTATTTGTCCTACACTGGGGAAATTTACAGTCTACAGCAGCAAGATTGTGGGTAGAAAGAAGAAGAAAAACAAAGTGTTTGCATTGACAAAATAAATGTTACAGTTACAGTTTTTAACGAATTAGTCAGTTTCCTGTAAGAATGTGCCATACTCAAAAGAGTTTAACGATGACGCTATCAAGGGAGGTATTTAGTTTCCATAAATAAGTCAACATCCTGTGAGTAAACCACACTTACTTTTGAAAGCAAAAAAAAAAAAAAAAAAACATATCCAGGAATTAGTCAGGGTGTAGCTACTTCTATTTATTTATTTATTTTGCAAGATACCGACTAAAATTACTTTTTTATTTTATTTCATTGATTTATTTATTTTTTTTTGCATTCTGCATGCTTGCAACATAATTCTGGCGGCAGTTTTGCGTCTGCAAAGAAGCACTTTAAGATGCGCTGATATTTTGCAAGGTTCAAATGTCAGCGTTTAATAACTAAACAAGTGAGACACGCAGACGGACACCCGAGGTCATCGCCACCCATCTTCCTGCTTGCTCGCTCACTCACCAACCCCATCGTCACCCAATCCGACACCGACGGTGATTGGCATTACATCACCATTCTTTCTTTTCTCCCCCCCCCCATCCATCTATCCTCCCTTTTTTCTTTTTCTTTCTTTTTTTCTCTCTTTTTTCCCATCTCCACTGGTTCGTGCCGTCGCTGGGCAGGCGCTATTAAATCGGGTCGCCGTTCCTCCTATCTTCTAGCCATCACCGCCGAGCGCTCCAAGTCCTGCGACGAGGGACTCAACGCCTTCCGGGACGACGGGCGAGTCTTCTCGTGAGTTCACGCGCACGCACAAAACCGCTCATTGGTCGAAAGTGATGTCATTCCACAGGCTTTGTTTTTCCAACAGGAGGCTGCCGAAGAGAGTCAAGAGCTTCTTCACTGACGGGGTGAGTGACATTACCGGTACTTTTGATGTATTATGAATACTCTTACCACACCAAAATCGGGAAAAACCTTATCCTTTGGGAAAGTGTCTCCAAATTACTTGACCAGTGCTGTGTTTTACCAATAAAACACTGGACTGTGATATGGAAATGACAGCACAAGATTTTTTATTTCATTTGATTTTTTTTTTTACCGTGAAAACACAATACGATATATATTTTGCCACATTGCACTAGATTCTGCCATAAAAAAACATTTTATTCTGAACGTCAAAAACATTAGATTTGCACCTTTCCGCATTTTGACACAAAACCACCAGAGAATGCCTGGAAAAACATTTTTTTCCCATAGATGTGTTTGCCATAAAACTCGCATATTTTGCTTTGAAAAAATTTTTTCTGCCACAAAATATGAGAATTTGCTATGAAAACTATATATTACCCAATAGGCCACGAGTAGTGCATAGTTTGCCACACAAGCAGTCGATTTTTCAATGAAAATGAAGGATGCACATTTTGCCACAAAATATATCGTCATTTTTGCCACAAGAAAAACAGATTCCGTCTTTTATTCTACACATTGTGACATCACAACCGTGGATGATACCATGAAAACATTTTGTCACATCAAAAAGAAAATTTTAACTTAGCCTGCCTTAAGAGGTTGAATACTAAAGATTTTATTTGAAGTCGTGGCCCCGTTACATTCAACTTGGTTATGATCTAGCGCTGTCTGCTGCACGATCTGCCAAATGGCACCAGTTTTTTTGTCTCTTTCTCAGTCTCTGGACAACCTGGGCACGGCAGATGAGGTGCGCTCCAAACGTCATTCCACGTCCGAGTTGGGCAACATCACCTACAGCGACGTGCGGCAGGAAGGATGGCTGCACTTCAAGCAGATCCTCACAGAAAAGGGCAAGGTGAGCACAAGAAAGGACATTTTTTTTTTTTAATGTTTAGTTTTTTTTAATTGAGTCAGTTTTTCCCCCCATCAGAATTCTGCACACAACACCACATAATGATGGCATGAGCATAAACAAAACTCTCTCTCTCTCTCTCTCTCTCTCTCTCTCTCTCTCTCTCTCTCTCTCTCTCTCTCTCTCTTTCTCTCTGTCTGTGTGTGACAGAAGGTGGGCAGCGGCATGCGTCCGTGGAAGCGCGTGTTCTCGGTGCTGCGCTCGCAGTCGCTCTTCCTGTACAAGGACAAGCGCGAGGCGGTGCTGCGCGGCGCCGAGGACGAGCAACCCATCAGCATCCGCGGCTGCCTGGTGGACATCGCCTACAGCGAGACCAAGCGCAAGCACGCCCTCAGGCTCACCACGCAGGACTTTTGCGAGTACCTGCTTCAGGCTGAGGACCAAGACCACATGTTGAAGTGGATCCAGGTCATCAGGGAGAACAGCAAGACGGACAGCGAGGTGGGCATCGGCGCCAGCACTGTCGTGAAAACCGCAGTGTGCTGGCGTCAAAATTGTATCGTCAGCATTTTTGTCAAGGTTTTTTTTTTTTTAATAGAAATACATTGTTTTCAGAGCAATATTTAGTATTTTCTGGCAAAATGTGACTTTTTTTTTTTTTAATAAAATTTATCACGGTATGTCAAAATCTATATATTTTTTTTTTTTAAATGACAAAATTTTTCACGAGACAGGTTCCTTTGAAAATGTAAAGGGATACTCACCCCACTACCAGACTCTTGCTCCATCCCCTCACAAAGGTGTGAAAACGGCACTCAAAAGAGGGCGTTGCCTGGACCACCATTGGGCTGAGGCCCGGGTTCGGCCAAGTCTGGCTGTGATTGACAGCAGCATGACAAACTGCAACCTAAATCATTTCTACACGATAACATATTCCGCTAAATAAACTAACCAAATGCTATTCAAATAAATCACTCCTTTGAACTGGTCTACATTATTTTATTGATAAATTCTGTCATTTTAAGACAAGGTTGTTTTGTCACGAAAATGTCAATGGTGGGCAGGGGGGATTTTATTCCACCATTTGTTATTTTACAGGCGGAAATGTATCATTTCGAAGCAATATGAGTCGTTCTCAAATAAGTATCTGTTGCAGGAGCTCGGCTTTTCCAGGCAGGCGCTGATCAATAAGAAACTGAATGACTACAGGAAGCAGAGGTGACGAGCGGCGGAGTGGTTTCATTTCGACTGCAGCTTCTTGACTTCACTCCAAGTAATCGTGCCTCTGTCGCCCTCTGCAGCCCAACAGGCAGTAAACCCGACTCTTCGCCCAGGATGTCCCGCATGAAGCCTCCCTTCCTCCTCGCCAAGACTGAGAACGCTTTGGGTGCGCCGCGCTCCCCCAAACCAGATGGCAAAGGTCGGTATCATCGATACATATTCGAAACATTGTATTGTCTTTTAGGAATTTGTTGTTTTTAAATTTGAATTGCATTCTCTTGTCATCCTCAGAAGAGAGCAGCCCCCCCAAGTCTCCGTGGGGAATCAACATCATGAAGAAGACCAAGAAAGCTGGACCTAAAGCCTTTGGTGTCAGGCTGGAGGACTGCCTGCCGGGTGTCAACAACAAGGTCGGCCCTCCCCCCGCTGTCTGTCCCTCCCTGCCAAGAAATGCTCACTCGACACTCATACGTTGATCCGGATGTGATCCAGTTCATCCCGCTGATCGTGGAGATCTGCTGTGGCCTGGTGGAGGACATGGGTCTGGAGTACACGGGCATCTACCGTGTGCCCGGTAACAACGCCATGGTATCGCTGCTACAGGAGCAACTCAACAAGGGCGTCGACATCAACCCGGCAGAGGAGGTCAGGAAGCGAGATGTTGTCAAATGGAGTCTTTTGTGGCAAAACAGGCTACTAGCTTAAAGTTGAATGACATGGCCGTATCGAACCGTATTTTGGTAAAAAGCTGTAATTGGGTGGTAGGGTATTTCTTTTTGTTAGATATGTTTGGCGGCACAGTGGGCGACTGGTCACCACATCTGCCTCACAGTGCAGAGGTGCAGGGTTCGATTCCGGCTCTGGCCTTCCTGTGTGCATTTTGCATGTTCTCTCCGTTTCTGCGTGGGTTTTTTCCGGGTACTCTGGTTTCTTCCCATGTTCCGAAAACACGCATGGCAGGCTAATGAAACACTCCAAATTGACCCTAGGTGTGATTGTGAGTGTGAATGGCTGTTCGTCCACGTGTGCCCTGCGATTGGTTGGCATCCACTTCAGGGTGTACCCCGCGTAAGCTCCAGCACACCCGCAGCCCTAATGAGGATAGGCGGATTAGAAAATGGACGGCTGGGTGGATGTTTAAAATATGAGCCCATTCTTGGAATGAAAAGGCTGCATTGATTGACCCCTTGATGTTTCCTTTGTTGTGGACAGAAGTGGCAGGACCTCAACGTTGTCAGCAGCTTACTGAAATCTTTCTTCCGGAAGCTTCCGGAGCCTCTTTTCACCAATGGTGAGTCCTGCCTCTCTCTCTCTCTCTCTCACACACACACACACACACACACACACACACACACACACACACAAACTCACACTCTCCCTATGTGTCGCCTCTGCAGACAAGTACAACGATTTCATCGAGGCCAACAGAATGGAAGATGCGTCGGAGAGACTGAAGACCATGAAGAAGCTGGTACACCCAATTGTGTTCACGTCACACTGGTTCCAGATGGATTATTTGATCCGGAGTCATCATCACTTTCCCTGTGTGTAGATTCGAGACCTTCCAGATTATTACTACCACACGCTCAAGTTCTTGGTGTGTCACTTGAAGACGGTGGCAGACCATTCCGATAAAAACAAGGTGGGTGATATAACGGATAAAAAAAAAAAGAGGGATTTTTATGGCAATATTTTGTATTGGCATGAGAGCAATACATTCAGGGATGGGTTGTATTTTTTGATAGTGTCTTTGTGGCCAAATGATGATTCTTATATCATATTTGTGGCAGGTTTTTGTTTCTGTAGCGGAATACTCAATTTATATTGGTAATTCTGAATTTTCTTTGACAATTTTTATTTATTTTAACTGATTCGCTGTCATTTGGCAATATACTTCACTTTATTGACATTTCTGGAACAATATCTACATTTTATGGCAAATTTTAATTTTATGGCCATATACAGCATTTTTTAAATCAAATCCTGTTATCATTGTAAAATCACTTCTTTGATGATCAAATCTGTAGCCTTCATGGGAAAATATGGTCTATTCATGATAAACACGACTTTTGAATGGGTAAATATTTCCTTTTTGTGGCAAAGAATATAAACGAGTTACCACTGTGTCGAATTTCCGACGAAAAATTGTTTTGCGTGTCCAGATGGAGCCCCGTAACCTGGCTCTAGTGTTTGGGCCAACGCTAGTGCGCACTTCCGAGGACAACATGAAGGACATGGTCACACACATGCCAGATCGCTACAAGATAGTGGAGACGCTCATACAGCATGTGAGTACACAATCACACACGCACGTACACACACACACACACACACACACCCATCTGATGTAATCATGGCAAAATAAATGTTTTCTGTCGTTCCCGCAGTACCTCTGGTTTTTCAGTGAGGAGCCAGACAAGGATGAAAAGGTTTGTAACTAGCAAATTTTGGCATATTAATAATAATATCACCAAAAGCAGTACAAAGAAGAATCATATAATTTTTTTTTTTATACAGACGCCAGTGGACACTGAGGACGTGCAGCCCGTCCCTAACATCGACCACCTGCTTTCCAACATCGGGCGGACGGCTTTGCTCGGGGACGCCTCAGGTGAGCCCCGCCGCTAACTGCTAGCACACTAACGCTGGCCTAGCTGTAGCCGCACGCATGCTAACGCTGCGCCGCAAGCAGAAAGGAGGTAAACAGTGGACTCATTAATTAAGCAAACTAAACAACAAATAAGCATCTCACCTCAAATAAGAGCTTCTTGTTCACTTCAAGTAACAAAATACTGTCAGGGCCCCTCTTTACCTGCACAATGACATTTTTTGCCACCTGTATTTGATTTGTGGATGGATGGTTGCTCTTCAAAATAATACTTGAATAGTTTTCAGCCCAATACTTACCATGGTGTTTTTGGAATCTTCCACATAAGTAATACATATAGTAAACTAAACTAATATAAAGACTAAAAAAAGCCACTCTGAAAACTAATTAAAGCTCATAAAATTTAAGGAAAACAAAACTCAAAATCAGCATAATGCAAACGCAAAAACTATATGAACACTTTCTGTGACACAGACATGGCATCTGTAGAGCTGCCATTCAAGTGAGCATTTTATTTCTGGAAAAATGATCACGTTTTTGTCACACTAGTAATGCACGTTCATCTGTTTATGGTCAGAATTCCCTCCCTCCTTTCCACTGGCGCAGCAGTGTGTTGCAGGACACGACTGAAGTCGTTCGGTTAGCATTTAGCTTTCGGTGCACTTTTTTTTTCTCCCCCCTGTCCTCTCTGCTTTGAATTTCTCTCTGCACGTCGCTCATCTTGTGAATTTCACTCTGCTTCACTCTCTTAGCTGAGCCTGTGGAGCAACCTCTGCGGTAGGACGCCAACACGTGTGTGTGCGTGTGTGTGTGTGTGACATAATGTTTTTTTTTTTTTTTAATGCGTGAGTGTGTGTCTCGTTTGTGTGCGTGTCATGGTGACAGTGCGACTTTCTCCCCCTAGTTGCAACCAGAGGTTTGTCAGAGCATACTGCCTTCACTTGTGTGTGTGTGTGTGTGTGTGTGTGTGTGTGTGTGAGTGTGTGTGTGTGTGTGTGTGTGTGTGTGTGTCATTTTGACAATGCGACATTTCTGCCACAATAAAAGCCAGAGGTGTTTGCGAGAGCATCTTGCCTTCGCTGTCCCATGTTAATGTTTGTGTGTGTTTTGTAATTGCTACGTTGCTCTGTCAGCGACTGCAACTTTTGATGATCCCTTGTGGTGTTTTCCTTTGTATTAATATCCTCTTTCCCATCGGATGATTTGTGTATCCTCCTCCCGTGTGTGCGTGTGTGAAGTCAAGAGGGCACAGAGGAAGTCAGACTTGGTGTGGTGCTCTTGTTTCTTTTTTTTTTTTTTTTTTGAGAGTTCCAAATTGCTTTGCTGCCCTCTATTGGTGGGTGACTGTAACTGACAGACACTTGCCTGGGTCAACCCCACCTTCCATTTTGACATCATCTGTATCCAGTTTATTAACACCAAGTGTCTCTGTGCTTTCCTTGCAAAACTTTTTTTTTTTTTTTTTTTTGTCTGTGTCACTAATTGTCATCTTCATTTCCGTTCAGACTCCACCAACAGTGACTCCGCGAAATCCAAGGTAAATATTAAAAATGAATGTGCCGGCTGCTCTCCCCAATTATTCATGCTAGCTAGCTAGCCGCCAGTTTTCACAGTCAAAATACACTTAATGACGATAAATAATTCAGAGTTACAAAAAAGAAAAGTGACGCACAATGTTTTTTTCCAACAATTTAATGTGACCACTTCTTCATGACCACATGGCGCCCTCAAAATAAACGGATTGTCTAGAAATAATCCACAGAATTAAAAAAACAACCAACAACATGTTTGGTCATGCACAGGTGTCATAAATTTAATGTTGTCGCTGCTTTTGCCAGTTATTCATCAATAACTGCTGCTTTGCATATTAGAAATAAACACACCAACTCAAAATAATCCACAAAACATCCCCAATAACATGGCTAGAAATAATCCACAGTGTCGAAAAAAGGCCACGGCCTGGAGCGTGATGATAAACTTTCGCAAAAGAAACAAGCGCAACCAGAAATAATCCACAAAATCAGGAGTGTTGCAGTAATCCGGTGTCTTGCCCGTCTTGTCCCTCAGGGCTCCTGGGGGTCCAAGAAAGACCTCACAGCCAAGGACTTTCTGACTCTGTCCATCATGTCGGCGGTGACGGGCCGCAAGCGCCGCAAGCGTCACAACGCTCGGCGGGTGGGCAGCAGCACCGATGACGACTCGGAGCACGAGGCCATCAAGGCGGAGGAGGGGGAGGAAGAGGAGGAGGAGGAGGAAGAGGCGGGAAGCGGCAGCGCTCCTCAGGCGGAGGGCGAGGAGGAGGACGATGATGAAGACGAGGAGAAAGAAGAAGTGAAAGAAGAGGAGCAGGAGGCGGCGGCGGCGAAATGCGGCAAGGAGGAAGAGGAGGCGGGAGGAAGGGCGGACGCCCGCTCCATCGTGTCGGGCTACTCGACGCTGTCCACTTTGGGCCGCAGCCTGGGGGCGGAGGATGCCGACGACGAGCACAGCGAGCTGGTGAGCGAGACGGACAACGAGAGCGGTTTCGCCTCGCGGGAACGTCCCGGGAAGCCGATGCCGCCGCCCCTGCCTCCCAAACCCTCGTTTGGTGCGGCGGAGAGGATCGCCGGCGACGACGGTGGCGGCGGCGGCGGGGCGCGCTCCACCACGCCGTCGTCCACGTCTTCGTCGCACAGGCTGCACTCGCGGCCGGCCTTCAACTCGCATAAGCTCATCCAATGCGACACCCTCGCGCGCAAGAAGATGAAAGCTCGCTCGCTGGACCTGCTGGAGATCCCCGCCGCCGCCGCAGACACCGGCCCCGGAGACGACGACACGCCCAGGACAAGGAGCCACACGTCATCAGGGAGCAGCCAGGAGAATCTCCGCATATCCCGGGCGAGGTTGACGGCCCCGTCTCCTCCCAGTGAGGCGGCGTCCTTCGCCCCCGCCGGCAAGTCCCTGCGCGCGCGGCTGCTGGGCTCGGCCGACGACCTGCGCAGCGTGGGCATGCGTAAGCCACTATCGCCCGAGAGCCGCCGCAAGAGGCGCGCCTGGCGCCGACACACGGTGGTGGCGTCGCCCACCGAGGCGCCGAGTGACAAGCGGCCGCCGCTGGCCGCCGCAGAGTTTCCGCTCTCGCCCGTCAGCCCCAAAGAAGATGACGGCGTCCAACGAGGGTCTTCTGGCCATCAGGCGCCCACGTCCAGGTTTCACCAGTACCTTTGAGTGGCAGCGGGCGGGGCGACGATGCTCCTAGAATTAGAAAAGACGTGATGTGGAAGCGGCCGGGAGAATTTTTGTCCAATCGAGGCAAGACTGGATCATCCACTGAGGTGCAGCGTGAGAGTGCGTTCCCACTCGTTCGCATCACAACCAAAACATCACCAACGTGGGGCAACGATAGCAACGAGTGAGCGTGTTTCGGGCGGTGGCTCGTGATTGACAACTGCTGATGCTGCGCAACTTGCTCGTCCACGAGAAGATAAAGGGGAATAAAATCCAAGCTGAGAACTCCCTGCCGCTGCCCTGGGTGCCTCTGTCCCTCCAAGGGGCCGACGCGTTGTCAGGAAGCAACCGGGAGACTCTCGGCCTATCCCGGCCCGGCTCAGGCTGCCCCATGCCCAGCTGCGGGTCAGCGCACTGGCTTGTTTTAGTTGTTTTGTTTTTTTTTTTTTAATCTAAATCCATTGCCAAAGCTTTCTCATTTTGTTACTACATGTAATTGTGTATTTTGTAGGGTGGAGACACACTCTGACCTCATCATCACCACCCCCCTCCACTGCGCAAAAGTTTTGGGTCGCCACGAGACTTGTTTTTAATACCAGACGGACATTTAAATTTGTTTGGAGTTCATGAGGCAAAATGACCACCAGGGGCGTCTCGTTGAGATTCACTGTCAAAATGCAAGTAATGTAATATCGAATCGTTTCATCCAACAAGAAAGGTCCTTTCGTTGCCATTTTAGCATTTACAAAACATTTTTATTGCATCGCCAATGTGTCACAGTCTGACCAAAAAAAAAAGACGCCATCACACGTTGTGTGTTAGCATTAACCGCGCAGAAGCATTCTTAATTTAAGGCAACATTTCTGGATTGTTTTAAAAACACAGTGTAACTGTCTTTGTTTTATGTTTACTTTGACAGTTAACTTCAACCGGGAATGGTATGAAACAGCTTGAAGCCTGTTTTTTTTTTTCTTTTCAAGAATTGTTCACTATTTGCCAAACTGCTGCTTCTAGTGAAGTGAGTTGACTTCAGTTCTCTGCCACTGTCCAGCACTCGTATCTCAAGGCACCGCTTACTTATGTTTCAACATTAACACTGTGCTTAAATATAGGGACATTTTAAGAAACAAGAAAAAAAAAAACGCAGTTGAAGGATGATTATTCTAATGCGCTCAGCTTTGATGGTGGCCCAAGCCTTTTGCTCAGGATCCCAATTGTCTTTTCCCGCATGAATTTTCCCCGGGAAACGGTGGTGCTTTTGTTTTTTGTTTAGTTTTTGTTGGGAGAGAGAAAAAAAAATTTCAAAACTTGTCATGTGATCATGGTTGGCTTCTTTTCCTCCGGTTTTTGTGTTGTAACATTTGTACAAAGCCGTATTAAGTTGTACATATGAAAGTTTTCTTTTTAACCTTAATAATAATAATAATAATACTCCTTTTTTTATGGTTTACAAACATTTCCTTCTCCAGACGCTACTTGAAACGTTCCCTTAATATATTGTTTGTGTAAACAGTATTATATGTATTTTTTGTATTGTGACGTCGCAGCATACGAAGGCCTTTTTTTGTGTCGGGACTGTCGCTCGTCTCTTAGGTTTTACGTCAAAGCTTCTTGTAACTTCCTGGTCACGTGACTTCAAACCTCACAACCTCTTTGCGTTCAAATAAGTGCCTCCTTTCTGGAATGTTCCGCAGTGCCATGCTGGCTTCTTGTCCCCTCCTCCTTCCCCGGCTCGGTTCCAAAGATGTGTTCAATGAATTCATAAGGGAAAAAAAAAATTTAAAAGACAAAGAAAAAGCACACTATGCACTCTCCCATGTGGTGTAAACTAAAAGGTGTCGCTCATATGTTTTTGTACATAGTATGTAACATATTGTCCCTCTTGTGTGTACATTTGTGGAATGGCTTATGAGTATAACTCTGCTTAGCTTATTATTATATATGATGTAAATAAACATAAGTATGTTTCAAAACATCAAGCGGTTTTATTGTTTGAATCTCTAAGTGGCGCCCTCCTGTGGACTAAAAGTGAGGTATCATCCAATTTGAAAATTAAAACTGCTAACGGTGACGCATGGACTCACAAAAATGGGCACCTTCCTGTTCTGTTTTAGGAATGTGTCATCTTGGTGGTGAAGTGAGTTGAGGAATTTCATTTAGGCACAATCTAGACAATTAGGAATTTTTCCTTTTCATACCACGGGGCTCTGTCCACACTTGCAAAAAAAAAAAAAAAAATTGATAATGTTGCCTCCAAGAGGTGATTCTTTTTTCAAAAAATAAACAGCTATTCCAGGAGGGCCTTGACATTTTAATATTAAGTCAATGTGTGTACGTGTTGTAATAACCTGTTAAATAGTGAATACACACCAGCACACAAATGTGTTATTTTGTAAGATTTTTATTGAACAGCTGCTATCACACCCACAAACTGTTAAAATGTTAAACAATGGACGTAACTGGCCTGGTTTCTTGTCATTTCTTGCTGTTGTAATGGACAAAATGCAACACAATGTTTAACAAAAAAAAAAAAATTGACAGGAAAACATTTGAATTACAGACTGGAAAAAAAGTTGTTTTTGTAACGTCAAAAAAATGTGTTTTTTAACTATGGTATTTTCTTTCAGGCCAAATGCCAACATTTTAGTAAGCCCAGATTAAAAAAAAAAAAAGTAGTTTATACACTGACATTTCATTAACCATCGGCCAAATGTTGACAAAAAAAGTGTCCAAATATGCAAGCGATTTTACATGGACATTTCTAACTCAGGCTACATGTTGACACAAAATTAAGTCCGCATAGAAAAAAAGTAGTTTTATTGACTTTAATTTTATTTTGTGCAATGAAACACCCCCCCAATCTTGTTGCTGTAGCTGCAAATTTCCCCAGTGCGGGACGAATACAGGTTCTTAATGCTGCCTGTCAAATGTTGACAATAAAAAAAGCTGCTTTTGGAAAAAAATGTTTTATGTTGACTTTTGTTTTATAGCTCTGTCCAAAAGTTGAAAAAAAACTTTTGTATTAATTTTTCTTTTCTTTTAAACCTTGGGTCGAATGTTGGACAAAAAAATAAAGGCCGAGATAAGAAAAAGTTGTTTTGTATTGATTTTTTTTTTTACCTCTGGCCAAATGGTAACACCCCCCCCCCCAAAAAAAAAAAGTTCAGATAGGAAGAAGTTGTTGTGTTCTTATTACCTTGTTGTGAACAGTTTTTTGAGCGTCCCTAATTGTCATTGACGGGTTGGCTCCGGAGCAGGAGCTCTGTATTTTGGGCCTTCAGTCTTTCAAGCTCCCGCTCCAGTTCCCGGAGGCGCGCCAGGGGCTCCTCCACGCTCATGCCGCCTCCCCCGCCGCCCCCGGGCTCC